CTCCCCATCTTCGATAAATCTAATTTTTCACTCCAAATAGCCCAAAAGAAATACTTAATCTCCAACTAAATGATAAAAAATGGGGTGAGTTGCCAAAATACCAAACACAGAGAAGAAAAATAATTGCAATTTCTGAAAAGTGTTGGATTGGTCTATTAACAAAAGACCATCTGTCTCCAGACTTCTATTCTTCCAATCAACTTATATTTATGACTAGATATAACCTTTTCTTCCTTGCTCAACTACCTTCAGTGGCTCCCCACTACCCAGCAGAGTCCAAAATATCCCTTAGTCTCATATACAAAAACTTTCCATAATCAGGCCCCACACTCCCACCTTAGATCCATCTCCTACTACTCCCCAATGAAAGGTTATATTCCAGCGACATTTAGGCCAATTAGCTTCTGGAATGTCCTATCTGGAATGACTTCTCAATAACTAATCTCTAACAAGGACCAAAATGAAAAATGAAGACCACTTAATTGATTTTTTCCTTTTTTAAAGGAAGACAGATAAGAAACATAATTACTAACACATAGATAGCATAAGTCATGTAAATAAGCACTGAACATTAAAGCATTTTTTAAAAAACATGCATAGCCAAATGATAAATCAAATTTCATAAAATCCATGATAGCATTAATTGTAAAAGATAACATGTCATGTAGCATTCTGCCAATTAAGCTATGACACATTTATTGGAATTTTTATTTTTTAATTAAAGAACTCTTTAAGGTTTCTTAAGGCATTCTATGCACACAGAAATATAATTAAAAACAAATTGACCAGGGTATTTCTAAAAATTCTTCACTCAGAATCCAAACCTTTTGAATTACATGCTGACTCAATTATTGCCTATGCTTTTCCACACAATACCATCTTCTGTGTATGTTCACTGGTGATGCACCATTTCACATGACTGCCATTACTATCTCCAAGATTTTCTTCCAGTCAGCTGACATCCAGGCTCTAATTTTTGATGCATGTTACCAACCAATGCGTTAATTTGCCTTTTTCTTTGCCACAGGGCTGACAGCAGTTGTTCAGACATATCCCAATTTCAGACGTGTTAAAATGTGAAAATATAAGTTTGGTTTTAGAAATGCTGGAATTTGGGACCTGAAAGAAATATGCAGAAACTCACTGTTTGAGAATGTAGACACTGTATGAAAATGACCAAAGAAGAAGGATCTACAACAGAAAATAGTTTTTGTCCTTTTTGTTCAACATCAGGATCAATGTCATCAGCCCGCCCAAATCCATTTTCAGCTTTTGTCACACTCCAATCTGTCCCCTCTCTTCCTCTTCTGAGTATTCTCTCTCTACTGGTGTCCTCCAGGACACCAATTAGAGCTGGCAGGAAAGGCAGTGAGCTGCCTGCAGATCTTCCCTTAAAGAAGCCATTCTTTTTTTTCTTGGTACCTGCAGTATTCTCTCTTCTCTGCTATGGGAAAATCTCCAGAACCTACAAATTTGAGCTATGGACCAAGTAGCAAGCTTGCTATGAAGAGGATCATGCCATTAAAAATAATGACTGCTTCCAGGAATCCAGTAGTTCTCACTTTTAAATAAACCAGCAATGTTTTTTAAGCCTTTTCAAATATTTTTTTGTAGTGAAACATAAGTCATAAGTGGCCTCAGTTTTTATTCAGTTGCATAAATATTGACTCAATGCTTTAAGTGTTTAGACCTGCACTGCTTTAGGGATGAAATTCCCAGAGAAGTATCTACTCACATCAAGCATGCACTCAGTGCAACTGGAGAGAAAAATAAACACACAGAGGCAAGTTAAATGTTGCATTTGTTTTCTAGGTCTGATATAAACCTTTCTGCTTTTTTTTTCCCTTTTGTTTTTTAGGTTTGTAAGGAAGGAACATAATAAGAACAATGTACCAAAATGCCAGCAATCTAAAAATTAAGTTGTCAGCTTTTTCTCTGTACTGCAAATTACAAAAGAATCACGGGCTTGGTGCTAATAGAAGCTTACGACTGTAAAGTGTGCAATTTAACCAATCATCACAGGGTCTAAAACTGCAGTACCAAAGACATTTCAACCAAGTGATCTGCAGTTCCGTAATTTCAACTTCTGCACTTGTGTCATTCTTCCTATTATTTTTCTTCCCCTTGCTTTGGAAATGTGTTCTGCAATAGCCACACAGTGAAGTAAGAACTGTCCAGAGCTCCCTGGTGCTCTTTTGGGAGTGTATATACCTAATGCACTCACAAAAGATGACAGTCATCTTTTACCAAGGAGGTATAGATAAGATGATGAACTTGTGCAGCTGTTTTGTAGTTCTTCATTTCTTTATGCTCACATCACATTAAATTCAGAAAACAAAACATGAAATGTACTTTACAGTTTCAAAATTTTAGACTTCCTTTATAATGTATTCAATACTAATTTGGATGTAATGAAACACATCTGTAATTATCATTCTAAGTTAGGATTAAAATGCTCAATTTATCAAAGAGTTTGCAGATAAAACAAAAACTTACATGGAAACCAATCACCCCATTCCCTGCAGATATCTTCTATACTTGTGAAATCCCTACCTTTTTCCATTTTTTCCAATTTCCAGCTGTAACCACATCACTTAAAAATAAATCAGAAAGAACACAGCCTACTTAGAAAATAAACTGTCTTTATAGACACCACATCCTTTTAAAAGACAACACTAATAAGCTAAACCAAGAATTTAGCAAGTGTTATTTTCGTACACAGAACCGTAATAAATATATTGACTATGCATAAATAAAAATATATATTCTTGTTCTTTAGATAATTTTTTAAATGGCCTTTTTTAAAGATTTCAGTATTTTCCTCAATTAAAGGAATAACTAAAGATTTCTACTATTTCATAAAAAAAACAATTTCTTCTTCTGTGACCTATAAAACACACTTTCCCATACAGTCTTGCATTCACATCTACCTTCTAATCTCCAGACCATACCTTATGGTGCAGCTCAACGTAAGAAAGAAGAGTCTCATTCATTTACCAGTCAGTTGAAGCCAGCAAAATCTTCAGACCGTCTGGTTTTGCCTGCCCCACCCTTATTTCCTTTGAGCCATAGTGATGTCACAACACCAGGCAGGGCACTGACTTCATTGCTTTGGTCCCAGCTTCTGAGCACACAGTTCTTGGCAGCGAAGGCAAATCAAATGACAAGAGAACCCTCCAGGAGTGTCTGATGAATTCCCAACAAATTAGCAGCTAACTAGCCTTTTGAAAGGAATAGATGTGGTAATTGCACCACTAAAGATCTCTCTAAGTGAAATGGTGCTAAAGATAAATCTAATTCATGGTTTTCAATAGTAAATCTATATTCCATAACACGGGCATTCATAGGAAAACTGGTTGGACACTTGGAAGAGACTGTGGGAACTAAAGATGACCAGTGTACAGCAGTGCACCTAAGAAATCTCTTCTCTTCATCATAGTCAAATTCTCACAAAAAGATGTATTTTTCAGTATACTCTTGGGGTTCTATTTTACTGGAGAGGTCATGAATTCTATTTTGTAAGTTTTAAGATTTTTTTTAAAGCACTAACTAAAAGATGAACATGTATTTGTACAACATCGAAGAAAATATCTCAGACTACAAATCCCTGCCATCCTTAATCCAACATATGGTAAATCCAGACAGGATTCACAAAATAATGATACTATCACATGTCTCAGTACATGAAGGGTTGCCCCTCTTCTACCGTGGCCCCTTAATGCATTTGACAATTTTTTAAAACCAGTGTACACATAAAATAGCATCTAATCAGGTTTAAAAAAAAAATCCCTGATCTATTTCAACATAATTTAGTTGACCAAAGTCTAAGCAATGAACAAGAATTGACAAAAACTGCTTTTGACTTAAATCACACTCATGCATAAGAAATGACTTTAAAATTAAATGTAAAAATTTCAGAGACACTGACCTTTGACCTCTATCACCTCAATCCTTCACCTAAGAGGGGTCCACAAATTAAATAAGGCCCACTCTCGCTCCTTTTTGTTACTGGTCATTTACAAAACATGTTCTATTTTGCAAAAAACTATTTGCCTTTAGTGCATGAGTAGATCTATGCAGGAACTTGTGCATCTGGTATTTTGCTTTTCTAAACCATCAGAAAATCATGAAGTAAACATGACACTATTTAGTATTCAGCTATTTTATTTTCATCGATGCCTTCTGAAATTAACAAATTAAAGTTATGCTTCTCAACTTAGCACTTATTTCCTCTCACAATCACTTTGTTACTCCATCTAAAGTTTTAAAAGTCTGACAAAACAAACATGCATTTTTTAAAAAGCCTTGTCTGAACCAAGATATAAATCACCCCTCATTCCCTTAAGTTCACTCTAGCCCGATGCACTTGCTCCCTTACTCAGTAGGGCTTTTCTGCTTAATTTGCTCTAATTGGTGCCAAGTCCAGGGTTCCCAGATAAACGTAGAGGTTTATCAGTTTCACTTCCTTGAGACTAAAAATTAGTGTAAAATTCAACAAGAACATTTTCAGCCTTGGGTGATGGCTCTTCTGCCAAGGAATTCCAGGGAAAACCAAGGGAAACTCCAACACATCTGGCCGCCTCAACCTCAAATGGGTCCCCAAAAAGGACCGCCATGGTATCTGCATAAGCAGTTCCCCAAGACTAACGTAAAAGAGCTGAAACACCAACTCAAAACACGTTAATGGGGGCACCGCATTAGCAGGACTGCCCGGCCCTCTCAGGACTTCCCAGCCCAGCCTCCACACGTATTTCATACCACATGTTTTCTTTATCAACCATTCTTTCCAAGTTTAACCCTACGCTGCAACGGGAGGAGAAAAACCCCGAAAATTTTGCATCTGTAAATGTAAAAACCGAGAAGGAAAAACTGCTCTCGCCCGCAAAGGACCACAGCTACAATTTACGAGATAACCACACCCACCGCATTGCAGAAGCAGTGAACTTGGCTGGGGGCGGAGGGGAGAGGGGACGGGGGAGGGGCAGGAGGGCTACCGGAGCGGGACGCCGAGGAAGCGAGCCCCGCGGCCGGAGGCGGGCCGCAGCCGCACGCCGCCGGCCGAGCCCACCACTCCGGCGGTCCAAGGCCCGGCCTCCCCGCCCCCGGTCGCCGCAGAGCCGCCCCGCAGACCCCTCCCGAGGCCGCGGGGCCGCGCGGCGCCAGGTGAGCGGCGCCGCTCCCGGCTCGTGGCCGCGTCCCCGGCCAGCCCGCGCTCGCGCTGCCGCGCAGGGGCGCCGGGGGCGGAGGCAAGGCCAGCCCCGCAGGTGCCGGGCGAGGGCAACCTGGGGGGACGCTCCCTCCGCCTGCCCCGCGGCCGTCTGGGGTACGCTGCCCCAGTTCGAGGAGGGAGACAAGTTACATAAAAGCGGCCGGTACGCCGCCGAGCGGTGATGCTTCGTGCCCAGCGCACCTTCCGGCCCCGCGCCCGCCGCCCGGGACCAGCCGCCGCCGCGCGCTGGGCGCAGGGTTTTTATCCGCCGGCCGGCAGGCCACCCGCCCTGGGCGGCGCCGCAGTGTCGCCCCCGGTTCCCGCCCCTCCACGCTCCCCGACCCCAATGGGTAACTTAAAACATGGCGCCCCGAGCCGGCGGGGGTGGGGGAAGGTGTTCAGCAAACTGATGGAGAAGAGACGCGGGGACCTTGTCGCCCCTCCCGGCGAGAGCTCCGACGCCCCCCAGGCCCGAGGCCGGTGCTCAGGCTCTGCGCGACGGCCGGAGGCTGCAGCGCGGCGGGAGGAGAGCGGGTCCCCGGGCGCGGACGCGGCGTACCGGCCTGGCTCGGGCGGGCGGGGCTCCCAGCGGGCGGACTGGGGTCGGGCCCGGCCGGGCTCGGGGCTCCCGCGAATCGGGCGGCCGTGCGGCCCCGGAGCCACGCGTCAGCAGGCAGCCAGGCGCGCCTCGCCCCCGGCCTCCGGCTCTTCCCCTCACCTAGCAATCGGAGACCCCCCTGGGGACCCCGCTCGGGCAGGCAGAAAAGTTACCTGGGCTGGGCGGGGGCCCGCGCGCCGCGGCGTGGGGACGAGGCCGGGGCTGGCGGCTGGTCGCGGTGCGCAGGAGGCTCGGGCGTGGGGAGGAAACCGCAGACGCGGGCTGCTCGCCGCGCTCCCCGCCCCCCTTTGCAGGAGCCACCGAGGCCCCGCGGAGCTGCGGCGGGGGCACACGCCCAGAGCCGGCGCAGAGAAGCCAACCTCGCCCTGACTTCGCCTCCCCGCGCGGGGGAGGGGGCCGCCGCAGTACTTCAGGACAGTTCCATGGCAGCAGCTTTCTCCATCCCGGCGCAGGGTCACGCTCGGGGACAACGCCTCGAGACAGTTGCCAACAGCGTTTTAGCCTTTGGATTTCCACGCACATTATGGCCGGGCTCTCTGTCCGCTCCTCAGCCCACCCAACACCCGCTGTGGGAGGGGGGATGGTGTGCCTGGCCTTCAGGTGAGTTATTTATTGGCTTAGGGACTGCAGTCATTTTTTTCTTCTTCTTTAAGGAAAATAATTCGACTTGGCGGTGTCTTGCACAGGGTGGGTACTCCAGAAATATCAAGTTAATAGAGCAGACCTAGATTAAAGGTTGAGGTGAGAGGTTGATCTCCTGTCTTTCAGTGATCAGCACCTGCCCGCTATCTGCCCACTCCCCACCACAAAGTCCACGATAACAGGTGGTCTTCTAAGCCTGCCTGCCTGACAGGAAAGTCATTATTGATAGCACTTTCTTCTGAGATGAAGAGGAGGGGGGCGCACACTCTGAGGTGCAGGTGGAAGAATCATTCCTGGGCATTCCGCAATATCTACACTCTAACCAAGTAACAGAGGCATACTTATTAAAATGCTTAAGGTCCTCCCCAAATACCCCTAGTCACCTTTCCAGGAGCTCACCGACTCAGGGAAGGAAAAACGGGTTCATAAAAACATTGCCTTAACTATTGGATGTCAAAGATGTGATGCAGAATAACAGCCTGTGGCACAGATTAGTGGCCTGGTGTGTCAGGGAAGCCTCTGGAGGCAGGGAGACTAGGCCTGGGAAAATGGCGATAGAAAGGGGAAGGGAGTGTTTTTTCAGATTGCATGGGAGAGAAGGTGGGAAAATTATGCTACATAGTTTATGGACCTGTATTCTATAGATGTGCAGCTTTGGAAGTTTGGAGTGGGAAAATGTGATGTACGTCATGTTATAGGAAAAACAGTCTGGTGACACGGTGAAGACTAGAATGAATGAGCAAAAACCAGGAGCTGGTAGGAAGTGACCATGGCATTGTATCAAGTGCCAGAGGAAGCAAGGACCTGTCTTTCAAGTGACAGGTAAAGGTGATAGTTCAAATACTGAAGTGTTTATAGATTACCTGTATTAGCTTTCTATTGGGGCCACATTAGTGTTAGAGACATATTTACACATGTATATGGCTGTGTGGATTGCCTTAAAAGATACATGACTGAAATGATTTTTTTCCTCACTTTTGTGTGTGCGCTAAAACACTTTCCTTTAAAAGTGGACTTGAACAAATTGTATTGTTTACAACAAACACTAAATTGGCATCATTCCAGACACAGATGGTTTCAAATTTTCATTCATTTTATTGCCATATTTTTGCTTTTTTTTTTCTAATTGAAAGCAAATTGTTTTCTCCCTGATTCATAAATCTTAACCTTTGAGGTGATGGAGAAAATCAGCAATAGTGCATGAATGTTTATTTTATTGTGAGAAAATGTTAGAATATTATTATTTTTGGAAAGTTAGAAATATCTGGGTATTTATCCTATTATTCCACGCATTCAAAATTTGGAGTAAAAACCATACTGCTTTATGGTTTAATAGTAAATCTGGGAAACAGTTACTATGAAACCCTTTGAGCTTGACTAAGGCGCTGTTATGCTTTTTTGTTTTTCCTCACATAGATACAGAGATACAGAAATGTTAAACAGAAACTCAAAAGCAGCACATAGCTCTGCCAGTAACTTCTCTAATAAACTGCCTTCCTTCTACCTTGTTAGTATCATTCAGGAACCCCTCTTAGCCATCTCTGTCTCCCCACAGTGCCTCCCTGAGTACATTGCAAGCCAAGTCCTGAATTTTTGCTAAATGAATGGATGTCAGATAATAAACTTCATTGTCACCTTACTTTGAGGGTTCAGTTTCCTCACATATAAAATAAAGGACCGTTTCAAAAATTCCTTATCTTCCCCAAATACTAGGGTTCCATAAAATAAAAAATATTATCCCATCTTAATACCTGCTGAGTAAAAGCAATAATGAAAAACCTATTTAGCTCTCATCAGGAAATGAAATAATGAGCTCTTCCACATGGAAAGGAGAAGTAACAAAATAAAGTCAAAAGCAAGGTGCTAATAATACCACTGAAGTTGGGTTTGCTTTCTGTCATGAAAGACTAACGTCTCCCTGCATCCTTCTCACTGCCAAAAATAAAGTTTTCTGTGCCCCCACTGAATTCTTTCTTCTTCTCAGTGTAAAACCCCTCATGGTGCTTTTTCAGTAAGTTACAGAAACACAGTTCTTGGGTCGGAAGAATGCCTTTCACACAGTTCCAGAGTTCATTCAGGTTTGGCATGAGAACTCAGTCCATCAGATTTCTGGTCACTGAAAGACAACAAGCCATGGTACGGCAAAGAGGGGTGCAGTCAACTTCAGGAAGCAGGTGTGTGGAAACAGTCCAAACTGATGGCAGAATTCTCCACACAGCTCCATCCACCCACAAGTGTCCAAAGCATACCGACTCATTGATACTCACTGGTACTCTGCTGTCTGAAAAACAATGGTAACTCCCACCTGATAAGCAAGGCCAGGCCAGGATTTGCAGATTGAATTACAGCCATATTGATAGCTTCGCCAAGACTCCAAAAAGAAATGGTGGTGAATCTGTCTAGAGACCCCATTGGAACTTTGCTCCCAGCGTGAGGATTGGTAATACTGAAGCTTAACCAGACTCTGCAAATGTGGTTGCTCTCACAGGCATGCAACAGTCATCTGCCCTCTGATAGTTCTAGTCTACCCTTACATAAAGTGTTGTGATATTTTTTAATCTCTATTTTCTTCAGTCCTTTAAGTTGACTGTTTCTCAACATAAGTAAACAGTAAAATATTAACAATTCTTGCAGTAACTAGTTGAGGCTTACTTTATGCCCAGGATAATGTCAGGCACCTGAATTGCATATCAAGTCCTTGAAACCAGGACACAAAGCCTTCTGTCTCCACATTACCAGGGACCATAAATAAGAGAAATATGGGGATGAATGCATAATTCAAAAGCAACAAGCTTATTCTCCTGAAATAAAAAAATCATTTAAGAGTTTCTATGTTTTAAGAATAGTGTCATGTTTACAGCACATTAAGGCATCCAGATGCTGTCTTCTTTCCAGGTTTGTATACATTACTTTAGGGGTCTGATGCAAAACAAAATAAAAAGCCATCAATAACTACAAGTGCAGCATAAAATGCATAAAATATGTACTTATGAGAGGAAGCCTGTCTTAGATGGCCTAAAACATTAAAAAAATATATTTCCTATTCATCAGAATTCCATATTTGCCTTTTTTCTCTATACTTTTGTAAAAATAGTCATAAAAGTGGGGCCAATACATACTATGTAAGTTTCACTGTATTCAAATTTGTCCTTATTAAATTTTTTTACCTTCTCTTATTTAATTTTAGAAATAAATCTCAGCACTTTTAAGTAGAATAATTACTAACAAAATGTTTAGGGTTCTTGTAATCTTAAGTTCTTTATAAAGCTTAAATGCTCAATTCTATTCTCCCATTATGTAAAAATAAAATCCATTAAGAATATTTTATATTTGGGTATTTTCCACTTAATGACAAAATATAAAGAATGAAAGTTGGTAATCTGTAATATTAATTAATTCAACTCCCAAGCTATTTACCATCTATGACCACATTGGTATCCCACACAGATGACCACTACTGGAGTATGCCAAGACACTTAGCTTTTTTTATTTTTGACACAAATCAAAATGTTTAATTTCTGTATTTCACTCAAGTCATTATGAACCACAATGATGACAATTAAGAGATACAAGATCACAGAAGAGAAAATATGCAAATAGTAGTACACTTAACATTTTAATCACTCTCCCCCAAAAATACATAAAACAAATGCCAGCAAGCTCCTCAGTCTTCAAAGTTGTAAATAATCCTAACCAGCTATTATATTTTGCTCTAACATCAATCAACAGGAACTGCAAAGAAAACATAGGGTAATAAGACACATTCAAGTGTCTCGTTCACTAACTTGTTGACTCTCTTCAGGTTTATGTTCTCCTTTTTAGGCAAACATGCCATAGATAACATTATAAGCTAAGAAACGTACAGCCATAACTATCCCAAGAAAAATCTCACAATTGCTTCCTAATTTGATTCCTCTTTTCCAACACTTTTCCTCTTGTCCAGTTGCCTCCCTATGCATACTTAACCTGTGGGTACAACCTGAAAATGTGATTTCATTCTAGTTCATAGCTTCCAGAATGTTCTGTGAATCAGTGAAAACATCATCTAGAATATCTGTGTCTCTTGAAATAAATCTGATGTTCAATAGGTCAAAGCCACTTTAAAGAAAGCTTCTGCTATTGACTTTCCTGTTTAAGATATTTGTCAGGAACTTGGAACATCCCAGGCAAGCTTACTTGCAGAGGGTACAGATATAAGAAGGATGCCAGAATTTCTCAATCTGGGTTGTTTGTGAAGAGTTTAAGGTTTTATATTTCTGTGCCAACAATAATCTTGGAAAGTCATAAAAGTATTCACACTATTTACATCAGAATCACTCAGAGTGCTTGTTAATAAGCACAGATTTGTGGGTCCAACCCCAGACTAAGCAAACCAGAACCTCTGGGGTGGGATCCAGAGAGCAGGTACTTTTAACAAGCTCCCCAGGTGATTAAAAATCACACTCAATTTTGAGAAACACTCACCCAGGTGACTAGTCTACAACAATAATCCCACAGGAGACAGAGTTGGTTGTACTATTCAGACATGTTTCATAGAAGTGGTAACAGAGAAAAGTTGTGAGAGGACAGCCTCGTTCAACCATACAGGTAAGCTGACTGAAAGGAAGCCTGCACCTCAAGTCAGCATGTACTTGGCCAGAAGAGTTATTGCTTGGATCCTGTCCTTGTATGCATCAATTTGCAACGGCAGTTCATTAGCAGTAAGTATAGTAATAAATAACAATGAGAGATTGTTCTGTACCCAATTCCAGCAATAATTGGATTAGATGCCCAATTATTGAAGACTGCAATAACACTACAACTCTGACCTTAATTTCCAAGTGCACAAAACATTTTACAAGGTTGTCAAGGGATGTCTCATTAAAATGAGAAATGGAGAACTAATTGCTGGCAGTTTGGTTAAGTTTGAATTTGACTATCCCAAACCCAGAAAATAGAGACTTCAAATTATGAATACCTTTTGGTATAACATACATACCCAAACAGCTCCTGTGCTGATCAGTGAAAACTAATGAACCAAATTAAATCAATTGACTAGAGGCTCTATCTTTCTACAGCTAAGCACAGCATATGAGGAGTTCTGTTTCAGAAAAATAATATTATTAATTCCATTAAATTAATATGTTGTTAATTTTATTGTATGGGTCTTATTTTTTATATCAATTTATATCAGAATCACTCAGAGTGCTTGTTAATGCAGATTTATGGGTCCAACCCCAGACTAAGCAAACCAGAACCTCTGGGGTGGGATCCAGAGAGCAGGTACTTTTAACAAGCCCCCCAGGTGATTAAAAATCACACTCAATTTTGAGAAACACTCACCCAGGTTTCAATATAAAAATCTTTTGATTTTATAATTGATGAGGCCTATAAGCATGAGAAATTTAAGCCTAGTTTTACTTCTTCATGGTAATGAACAAAAATAACACAACATGCGGGGAACATCAGAAATGTTTTCTTTCCTTACAGGGATTTTGTTAAAGAGTGAGATTTCACCTCAACAAAAGAGGACTGCTGTCCTGCTATAGACCAGGCTGTCTTATACATAGTGGGTGCCCCAGCTAGAATGTACAAGGAGATACCAGATGGCATCTGTCCATTATCTCCCAAAGGAGAGTCCTCTGTCAAGTGGACACTTAGGCAAGATCATATTTCAAGTCCTGTCCAACTTAGATCAAATTGTTTTCTAAGTGTTTGCCACAATGAACTGGGGCTTGTCGATGGTTCTTCACTGTTGAAGTATTAATTCAAACGCTGACTTCATTAAGCTATACCAATAGATGTATTTACATGTTATTGAATAGCCTTCATAACTTCTCCATTAGGTTGAGATTCATTTGCTGTTAGCATAATGCTTTTTCTCCATAAAATGAAGCCAACATCTACCACCCTTTGCTTTCACACACCTTCTCTGATCCTTCAGCTCTAATCTCCTTGTCCTACGTAGGCTAGTCAGACCTTTCTTTACCTCTGAGTCGGGTATTACTGAGTTGCCTTTGGTGGCTGAAATTGTTTGAGTCAAGGTATAAAGATTCTGAATGGGAAACCATTATACTTCCAAGCCTCTTCCTAAAGTTTTCCCAGGTGTTTCAATACCCAATTCCAAATTACTCCACTGTTTTAACAAAATCAGGCAGGCATACACTTACTTTATTAATACATGCTCATGAATGCCATCATGGTTGAAACACAGGGAACTAGATGATGCCATAAAATCATAATTCATTATCATGGGTAGGTAGTAGATACATGTGGACTTATTGTAATTCTCCCTACTTTGTGTACATTTGAAATTGTTCATCATAAAAAGCTTATGTTAAAGAATAATTTTAAAATAGTGATTTTTGAGGTCTACCCCAAACCAATTGGATCAGAACTTCTGGGGAGTAAAGCCCAGGTATCAGTATTTTTTTAAATGCCCCAAGTAATTTTAATGTGTAGGCAGAATTGAGAAACTGCCATAGAAGAAGAAAAAAGCACAAAGTAAGTTGAATGCTAAGAATTCCTAAAAGGAGGATGCCATAAAAATCGATATTAATAGCAACCACCTATTCATATCTTCTAAAAATTACCTGAGGTACTAAACAGAAGCCGCTGAATTAAACACGCACATACCCATTATCCTCCACGAAACTAGTTTTGAACACGTTCGCTCTCCTTGGCAGTGCCTGCCATCAGATTTGTTGATACTCGCACTATTTCAGGGAATCCTGTTACTGTCGCTGGCTGCCCATTTCATAGTAATGTCTCAATAAAATGCTGGCATATTTAACAACAGGCATAAAGAACGCCTACACACAAAATATCATGACTAGAATTTCAACAACTCTTCAAACACCCCAAAGAGAAAAATATCATTTGTGGTTTTATTCCAAGTTCTTGTGTGATGTAGAGAAAATACATATGAGCACTTGATAATCTTGGGTGAAAAAAAAATAGAAGTTTCCAGCACATTTTGATGAAACATAAAAAATATTTGAAAAAATTAGAAGGGTCTATAGGGAGTCATGTCTAAATA